ATAATTAGGGACTTCTTTTGGACACCTTCTGCTGTGTTTGATTCAGTGTGCACAACTCTCTTTTTTTTAATTCTTTAGGGATAAAACCTATACCATAAAATGAACTGGCTGCCAATACTAGAGTAAAGAATAAGGCCCCAAAAAATAAAATACAAATTTCCATTGAACCTACTTTCAATCCTGTCCTCCTATTTTTGAATTTACAAACATAAAAACATTTGCTGCCAAATGTTATCATCCTGATGCAAACCAATTCTGGCAAACAACCATAACTATCAATACGAAACACATTTTTTTGAAGTATTACTACCCTTCACAGACTTTTTATCAGTCCATCTTTTATCACTGTTATATGTATAAAAACATACAAAGAATAAATATGCAAAAGCATTAGTCCTCATTCTGATGGCAAGTAGTTTTATGGACCTCCATTCAATGGATATTGAAAGCAATGGAGAGATCTGTGCTGCGCATGGAGTTGTGGCAATCTGGACATGAGCCGTTGTTTTCCAAATTGTCTGCAAGTTGTACACTAGTAGGCAATACCAACATTTTGTTTATACTGGGAAGCTTATTGCTCCATTATTTTTCCCCATTTTTCATGTCAGTGTATTTAAGAGGTTTAGTATTTATCGTTTTCTATAACCACATTGCCTGGGGGACAGGTAGAAAGCGGAGAAAGGTGAATTTAGCAGTAGCGCAAACATTGAAGTTGGTCAGATAGAAAGTGATGCATCTGTGAAGAAGTCGGAGGTATATGGTTTTAAAAACAATTAGTTTCAGATATACATAAGGCAAAATTTAAACTTCCCAAATGTGGACTGAGGTGTATCATACAGTATTCACAGTGAACAGGTATTTTACATTGTCAGAGTGGATGGTGTGCTCAAAAGTGTAATACTGTACTATTGTACTTTCTTTCAGAATGTAATTATTGGTATTAGCCAGTTTCAGTAATAACAATCAATCAGAGATATTAAGTCAATGTCTTCCCGAACTATGTCCATTTAAAGTAGGTCTGACTGTTATATTTCAATCCTAGTATTTCATAAATGTCACTCTAGAACACTTGTCCAAATATTTTTGCCTATTGTACCCTTTATTACCTTCTTGTACTGTTACGTATCCCCGCCCCCATCCACCATGGCTAAACAAACTGTTTTATTTAGGCCAATGCAAATAATATACTAATTATGAAAAGACTGCATTGCAGGAGTGTTGGTCACTAAATTCAAATTTAATACACAAATAAAAAAGATGATTCTTAGAACATCTGATGTGCGTGTGTGCGAGTGTGTGTCTGTGTTTCTTGTTTGTTCACATGCTCTTATGATCTATGTTGCGTATCCCCAGCGGTATGCAGACCCCACTTTGGACAACATTGCTCTAGAAAGTACTAAAATGAAAATTTTCTCTTGATCTTTCGTTCTCTTCTATTTTGCTATATTCTATGTGTCTTATAGAAACACAGATAGAAAAAGTCACTCATAATAGCAAAACATGATTACATCACATGAACAATAAAGAAAATGAAAACTGCGGATTTTGGTTTCCTGTGTACTCAGCTAGTAATATAGCGATGCAAACTATATAAATTCATTGCTTCTCATAATATTTCTCAGTCATTTAAGTCTAAGCTGCGTCAATCGGGGCAGTAAATAATTTTCCCTCTCCATCTGAGTTATCTTGATAAAGCACATCCCTTTAAAACTGGAGAACTGTTTTCCTGCCCATATTTTGAAGGTCAACTAAGTATATCTGGTTGTGTTTAGCATCTTCCTCCCAGCCTCTAGAGGGTCTAATCAACTGCCAGACATCTTCCCACTATCCTTACACCTACTAGTGAGTTCTCACATTTGATCCTTACTTTCTTTTATATTCTCACTGTCACCTTTCCCAGTCATCTTCCCCTATGGCACCCTCACCTATTTATGACATTTTGCTTTTCACAATATATTTATACATAAATAAGTATATGATAAAAGATTCATTATTATATAAATTATGACAAATACCTGTTCTACTGCAATACGTGAATTTCATCTAGATATTTTAAAAATTAGGTAATTTTTTTCAACTTCCATACTTCACTGTTTAATATCTATTTTCTGTCATGCTTCCAGCGAGAATGAAGATTATTCTCGCTGCTTCCAGTGATAAGAGCAAATCTTTACATTTTTTTCAGGTTATCCTACAATATAGGATACCCTGAAAAACAGTGAAAACAAGAGTGCCACCCTGATCTATTCATAGAAAAAAGAAAAGAAAAAGTGACTAAAACATACCATGAGTTACTTTACAAATCAATCAATTCATACTGATTCCAACAAAAAGACTTCAAAGAAGTCGTATTGAAAAGTGCCATCATTAAAGGAAGTCTGACGCTCTCTGCATACAGCACATTTTTCTTTAATTTTTGCCATTCTGGGAATACTACTTAATACATCAAACAAATGAAATAAGAATGCAATGCATGATAATCATAATAACAATTGGAAAATACACAAATATTTGTATATCTGTTTGCCTATTTCTAAACATAAATATTGGCTGCCTGTTTTTACAACTTTATGCCAACTGGCTATTACTTGGAAGAGACAACTTTTACAAAGTTATACATCCATAGTCAATACTCTTGCATTTTCATGCATTCAAACAATAATAGCAAAGGATTGTTTTTTATTCTTGGTTCATTCACATATCAATTTGCTGCAGATCATAAATGCCTACTTTCTTTTACATTTCATTGATGATACCATATTAGTATCTATTTGTAGAGTATATAAGTGTATTCAAATATGGGAACAAGCTGTACTTCACGTCTTGTGTTTATAACATGCTACATAGTATATATTGCCATAACAGCAAAACAACAGGAGAGTAGACTTTTACTAGTGCAAAGCAGCAAACTTCAAAGCATCTAAGCAACTTTATAACTATAGACAGCCTATCAAATAAATGTAGTTGACATAGCTGAAGGCATTAAAAAACCTAGAAGTAAAGATTTTAAACCTAATGATAAATTAGCAAAGCTGGTAACCTATATATACATACTGTATACAGCCATACAAACAAAAAGAAATCAACTGATAATAAACTTCAGTACTAAAATATTGCTACAATCAAGACAACATATGGAGTGGATATATTTTCTAGGTTCCTCCCCTAAGAAGAAGAATGCTTATCATACTTTTAAAACATTAGAAAGAGCTTGAAAACTTACAGATGTTCTACCTGTTGCTCCTGTTTCTCTTGTTTCAGCCGTTTGTTAAGTACAGATGTCCGTGAGTCTCTGTGCACATACTTTCTTTTACCTTTGCACTCGTAGGTCCAATGGCCAAATTCCAAGCACTTCTGACAACGTACATTTTCTGCTGAAGGCTTTCTGAAAAGGTCAGGAAAATAATTAGAAACTACACATCAATAACTAGAGTACATTGAAGGATGTGAATTCAAATTAAACAAGTACATGTTCTGTTGACTCTCTCTTTCTCTCTCACTCTCACACACTCACACACACAATCTAGTAATCCATCAATTCTATGTATTATTTACCTCATTCTAAATACATGCCTGAAATTTTTATAATGTACATAATAATACCTTACAGTTGCTCAGACAACAAATTATTTAGTGTTATTCTAACCAGAACCTCTTTCAATCCTAACTGACCAATGAAGTTGGAAAAAAAAAATTAATAAATAAAAATACAAATAATGCAACTTTGGTAATTTTTAGGAATACCTTTATAAAACTGATCATTTTAGTTTTGGTATTGATGGATTCCTCTCACTCTATACTATCCAAATATATCAAAATTATGCTGCAGAAAATCCCTAATACCCATAACCTTGGTCATGATATCAGGGGAGGGCATGAATGGTACTAGGGAAATTACATGGTATGTTACAAATAATATACAGGATATTGGTCAAAATATAATCAAATGTTGGGGGTTGTGTCCTGTGCAGCCCCTCAATGGGAAGCTGCAGCCGCAGACAATAAAAAATCCACAATGTATGAAAATCAGGACTGGGTGTCGGCCAGATTTGGTATTGGGTGGTCTGGCATGTCAGTGATACACTTTACCCTCCTGTGAACACATGGAGGATCCTTTGTCTTCCAGTCTCAAATGCAGGGGGCCGTGCACTAGAGCTGTGTAACTAAACAAATTATTGGTATAGGTTCAGGTACAGGTACATAGATTTAGGTACAGGTCTTGACCTGTACCTGCACCTGAACTACTTGTTCAAATAATGGTCAATTTTCAATAAAGACAGAAGCATGTTTGAACTGACAACAACAGATTTAACGGAATGTTTAATTGTGTTAGACACATGCCTATTACATAGGATTTATAATTCTTAACCACCATTTCCACTAGGGCAATGTGATATGATTTTTAAGAAAACAAAGATGAAAATTTGATTGGATTACATTCCAAGCTTTGAAATCATTGTCACTATTATGGAAGTACCATAGTGACGTTCTGTGCATATCATTTATATTTTATCTTGTAATTAGGAATTTTACACAACAGTCCCCTTAGCAGGGGAGGGCATGAACAGTACCAGGGACATTGCAGGGTAAAATACAAGTAATATACATAAAATTAATCTCTACATTGTCAACTTTAACAGTGACAAAATTTTGGGATTCCTATCCTTCTCTATGGGAAATGATTGCGCAGGCCTTATTTAGCAACTTTTCAGATCGTCAAAATTTTGGTACCAATGGATTCCTATCCTTCTCTATGATCCAAATATATGGAAATGATTGCGCAGAAACACCCTCCCCTCATTCCCGACAATCTTAGCAGGGGAGGGCATGAACAGTACCAGGGACATTGCAGGGTAAAATACAAGTAATATACATAAAATCAATCTCTACATTGTCTACTTTAGCGGACTGGCTGGCGCCCCCAAACCCTGCAAAGGAACACAAAGAAGCCTTCACATATTCAAGGGAATGCCCGAGGCTAAATCTGTCTGACGCTCTCACCTGCCGTGAATACATAGAGGATACTTTATATTTCTGGGACCAGATTCACTAACACACTTATGATGGTAAAATTATTGGTAACTATAGTTACCATGGTAAACAGACAATGATGGTATTTACTAACAACTTGCCATCACAGTTACCATGGTAAATTTTACCAGTGGTCGGAGCACTGGTAACTTCTGGGAAGACAATGTCATCACGTGTTATCTCGTCCAAAAATCAATATTCAAGCAAAGTTTTTTGTTTGCTTTTATACCTAATAAAATTAGTATGATGGCAAGCAAATATCATAATATGAACACGGTGAAAAAATGCAAATTTCATATGAAACTAGCAAGAATAAAATCCCCACAAATTCTCGTCAAATTATAAGTAGACATACACTGTCGAGTGCATAGAATGGATAGATAAGTGAACTCTTAAAGAATTCTTCTCTGATAATAAATTCTATAGAAAAAAACAACAAACTACCTTGCTGATGCATAAAATGGCAATACTAACATTAAACAAATATAACAACTGCATCTGTCAGCATTTTGGCAATGGACAACAAACTCCAAACCACATGGGCAAAAAGATAGATGGCAATGAATAAAAAATGCTTTGCCCGGTACTTTGTTTAACAGTGATGAGAAATAAATAAATAAATAACTCTGGACTGTCACTGGCTTGCGGTAAGCAATAACATATTGCATTGCATTGGTTCCTATTTTTATGATAAATACCCAGGGGAGTCTATTAGCATCCCACTTAATGGTTAAGATTATATATCTATTATTTTCTCAATATATATATATGTGCTGTTTTAGCTGTGACAATGATTTTTAAAATTTGCTCTCTCTAATTCTGTTTGCATGCTATGTAATTGGCCGAAGGTACCTAAAATAGTGTACATGGCACTTGCTGATTGCTGGAATTGCTTTACTAGAGCCCTCTGTTGGCTACCATTAGAATGATTCGATTTATGATTGTAACTGTCAATGCAGGTTACCATTTCTTCATGAATCCCACTTTGCCATCAATAGTAAACGCAATGATAAATGACCACTGGTAAATGTGTTGCAATCATATGTTAGTTAATCTGGCTCTGGGATGGGGGTTGGGGACAGCAGCCCTCCAGGAGGTTCACAGAGGCACAACCCCCTGCATTAGACAATACCGTGACTGAATCAGTGTATATTATCCATATCTTATCATGTAATTTCCCTGATACTTTTCATGCCCTCTCCTACTAGTGGGATCATTATTGTTGGGGCATTATTGGAAATGCAACCCCACACCTAATTAAAAGAATCTGAGGACACCAAGTGGTAGAACACATTATTCTATGAAAGTTTTCTTCTATACCATTTTCTGTGCAAATTGATAATAGCAGTATTATAGAGGGTATAAAATCCCCGATTTTCAAGAGCCGCAGTAACCTCATGTCACCAGCACAGTGACAAAATGACAAAAACTTGTTAAGAGCGACAGAAAATGCAAGGGAAATCAAATGAGCCAATTAGATTCATACGTGAACATAGAGCTGGCTAGGAGAAGGCAGTTGAAATTCAAATCACTTCCCTATAGGCAGTGTATAGGTTGTGAGAACAATCATTTTTTTTTCTTCCCGAAACAAAGCAAGCAATATACCTAAAAGCAGTGCAAAGAACCAGTGTGTGCAGGAAAAGGGTCAAAAAAACAAAACAAAGAAAGCAGTGTATCTTTACTGAAGTGATCGCAATTCCTTCCTGACCGATGCGCCAAAGTTAAAAGAAACTCTACGGGAATCCAACCCATCCTTTTGCAAAACCTATGGGATTTCACACCTTCCAAACCAAAAAAAAATGTCCTGACCCATAACCTAACCTAACCTAACAATTTACGGTGCCGTGACTAGGCATGGGGGGGGGGTTGATGGGGGGCTCTGCCCCTAACACCCCTTGGGATACATTCTCTTCACCTCGGTATGTACGGAAAGATAGAGCTACTTCCATTCTGTAAACAATAAACCAAATATCTTTATATATCGAAAGACTGAACTGTCAATTTTCCTTCACTTCTTTCGGTCCGTCTGTCGGTCAGTCTAATGTGGATCGCTTCATTTCTATCACGTTTTGGGGGGATTTGGGGTAGTTATAAAGGTCTTCCTCTTTATTTCCACTGTATAGTCTTAAGAACCTAGAATTGATACAACACTGAAAAAAAAAAAAACTCCGGCTTTAGTCAAATGGGAAACGTCAAAAACGTGAAACGTGTGTCAAACCTGGTCGCAGAAACGTGAAAATACGCTTGTGTAGGTTTTTCAGACCGATTCCTGTAAATCACTGTCTAATAAATCTTGAAACACGTAAATTAACATTTACAAAGGCCTTTGAAAGCATAAATGTGGAACAGCATACACTGATAATTAGCAAAATTACTAAGAACAGCTTAGTAATACATGACCTATTTAACAGAGTGCAGGAATGTTAACTGTTCATAATTTTGTTTACATTTGTGATATCAACAAGGCGAGGGTCAAACTTCTCTCATCTCTGTTGTGTAACTCCTTTATTTTCAATTTGTGCACCTTTTGCCATAGATGAAAAGTGTCTTATTTTATGGCAAGGTAACAATTCCATTTATCTTTTTTAATTTTTATATTTTTTTTTACTCAATTCCTGATTGTTATCCACTGTAAATTTTCATATTTCGATATATCTGGATAGTAGATTGAGAGGAATCCATTGATACCCAATTCGTCAACATATATGGACAGGAAAGAGTGAGAGGATTCCACCGACAACAAAATCTGAAAAAAATACCCTTTCAACTTTACCATAATCATTAATCAATATCGAATTGGCAATGGGTGTAAATCAATTTCAAAATCAGGTTCCAACTTCGCAGTTAGACCACAGCGAACTTACGGCTTGGAGCTGAGCAGACCGCCAGCACCCACGGGCATGGTGGAAACTCGCTTGATTCGTGTGCTAAAAACAACCTTTTTTCTTCCCGAAAATCTCTCCTTTCTCTCCTCTTCCTCTTCTTCTATTTCTTCTAGCGGAGAACCTCCCACTACGAAATTCTTGGCATATCTCTCCCTGCACGGCGGCCTTCACGGGAAGTAAACAACCTGGGGAGTTCGTGCAGATGTAAACAACACGGCCGGGAATCCGTGACGTCATGTGGCTTACGCGAACGGTACTTGTATTCGGCTTGTCTTGTGTTGAAGCTTAAACAATATGGCGATTTGAACTTTTTCTTGGGGAATAGCTAATGTAAGAGTTAGATGTTTGTGTTTGTGAATGAGAAGTGATATTCTTCCTATATTGTTTCCTCCTCCCTTTCTGTCTCTCGCTCTGTGTGCGCGTATGTTTGTGTGTGTGTGTGTGTATTGTTTGTGTGTTTGTTTGTTTGTGTTTATTGTATGTGTTTGTTTGAGTATATGTATGTTTTTGTGTGTATGTGTGTGGCTGTCTGTATGTATGTTTTCACAAAGAAGTAAATTCACAAGAGTTTAGGTTCAATATGAACACTACAGACCGTCGCACCCCTTGACCCCTCCAGCGATCTCAATCTCAATAATAATGCGCAGGGGGCCAATGAGCGCATAGCCTGCATATTGTCTCTTCGGCCCTTCTAATGATGCCTCCCGGGCCTTTCTAGCAACAATTCGTTAAATCAGCTGATGGTCCTGCATTGGGTTTTCCGATAATGGTCATCCCATTACACTTCTTCGCCCTTTCCAGTGATGTTTTTAGGTCATTCTAATATTTCCCATTCGAGCTCTTCCAATGCCACCTCCTTCGAGTTTCCAGTCCTCAGGTCTCAGGTGGCGTCGTGGGACACATGAATCCTAAAGCTGGTTCAATTAGTGTAAGTAGATATGAAATAAATGATCGTTTCGGTTTGCTAAGGTGCTAATCGCCCCTTCTTTCCCAGGATATATCGTTTCATGGTAATAATTAACACTGCTCAAGTCAAGTAAGCTCAGATCAGAAAAATATGAAATACAAACTGCATAAGTCCATCTGTTAAGTCTTGGGTTTATTTCAGAGATAACTTAAAATAAAACTTACCCACACACGCCTACCCAATGTACGTAATTCAGGATAATCTATATAATTGATACCCTACAATACAGGTCATTAATTAATCATCTATCGCGTGTTGCAGATTTACACATCATAATTCACACCAGAAATACAGGATCAACAGAAGCATTGAATGGTTATAACGAATATCATTTTGAAAGGTTCGAGTAATACATAAATGCACTCCCAGAAAATTTGCTATGTATTCAGGATGTAGATAGGAAACGAAAGCCAGCCATTTATTCAGTTTATTTGAACGCAAAACACTAATAATCAACATACAGTCTGATTTCTGTTTTAAGAGACTGAGGAGAAAACAATATCTGAAAGATTATTTGGAAGCTTGATGAATAAACAAAAAAGTGAATTTATGCTGAAAATAGAATCTCAAGATGAGCAGCATGTGCAAAGTACTTTAAATCAGACAGGAAGAATATGTAAATCACATAACGAAGAACGATTGTTTTTCAGGTCATTATGACACCGCAAATATGCAGTTTTTTCATATCTATTAATAGGTCCATCAGTAATACGAGAGCCAAAGTAAACAATATCCGATTCTCCTTAATTTCCTCAAGAAACTGCACTCACTGCTTTTCAGAAATTACTTTTATTTCCCTGGCTGAGAGTACAGCTGCGAAGGCACCTGCGCCGGATTGGAGAAACCTTGAGACGCGCCGCCGCCGCCGCCGCCTCCCGGAGACAACCTGATCTCGCCCTCGTAGCTGACGCTCGGGTGGTAGCCGGTGTCGTCCACGAAGTAGTCGACCTTCAGGCGGCGGCCGTCGGGGAGCTGCACGAAGTAGCTGAAAGGAGTCGTTTTCGAGTATGCATTCGACTGACTTTGGCTTCTAGGCATTAAACAACTCTGGGGAGACAGGCGGTTAGATCGCTAAACAGACAACGAGAGGGAACGGAAGAAGGAATAGTAAAAATCGAAAGAGAAGCAGAAGATAGCAGTTTTGTTCCTCACCTTCCTTGCGTGTTGACATCCTCTCGCTGCTCCTCTTGGCCGAAGAAGTTGTTCGAAGCCGCGTCCTCCACCTCCCACTGGAAGGCGTAGTTGGCGGGCACGGAGGCCGACTGAGACCCTGAGCCACCAGGACCCTGGATATTGTAGCCCTGGGGGTTCCCCTGAGCCGCCGCCGCCGCCAACATCACGAGAACGATAGTTGTCTGCTGGGGAAAGAAGGCAAAACCGATGAGCGAGGGAAGAACACACCCATTCTCACGATTTTGTTTTTGTATTTTTGCTTTTTTTCTTCGTGAGCTTTTGCGAGTACCTTCATGACTGCTGCTGGATGGGTTGCCAGGAGGAGCCGAACTGACTCTGCCATCCGAAGCCGCGCTTATATATTCTCGAGGGCTTGCGTTCAAGAAAGTGTGACCGGGAGGTTTTGCAATGAGCCATCCGTCTTGGAAAACAGACATATATATAAAAAAAAGATCACTCAACTAATGTGTACGTGTGTAGGGATTTGGACAAGGCATCCAACGCATCGCAGCGCCGTAAAATCATCCTTTCACACGTCGTAATTTTCGTCTGTATGTATGTAGGTAAAAGTATGTACGAGTGCATTTTTTGTAATGAATATATTACACATGCGTCTACGTGCACGTTTCTTGTCTATTTTTGTATGATGTAAGTCTGTGTATATACATTGCACACACACACACACACACACACACACACACACACACACACACACACACATATATATATATATATATATATATATATATATATATATATATATATATAATTATATCTATCTATTTAAACACACACACACACACACACACACACACACACACACACACACACACACACACACACACACACATATATATATATATATATAATATATATAATATATATATATATATATATATATATATATATTATATATATATATATATATACATATTATATATATATATATATATTATACATATATATACTCTAGATATATTTACTAATATATGTATATATATTAGTATATTTATGCGTGTGTGTGCGTATGCGCGCGCGCACACACTCAATACCATTTCACGACCGAGATCTCGTAAAACGAATTAGTTGTTCTGTGAGAGAGTGATGCTTCTACGTTTGTTATTATGAGCCCTTCAAAGTAATTAGATTCCCAAACGATTTATTTTCTTCACTAACCTGAGAATGAAAAATATATGTTTTGTGTGTATCAATTTGCGTAAAATCGGACGGTATATACAGGTTGTATTGACGACAAACTGTCATCGACAAATAAGCAGTCCTTTTCAAAATCGTATCACGTGTGGTTATTGTGCGCAAAGCCGAATACGGAAGAAACAACACAATGGCTTACGAGAGGCAGCAAATTAGAGATTATCTGGAGCAAAATTGCCTGCGTTTGGAGGAAAAAGCGCGGGAACGCACGTGCACCGTCTGTTTATCTGCTGTACGCATCACGCACCTGCAGAAAGAGCTGCATTTATGCACCAACACGAAACTTTCTACTGAACCTAAAACACATGGGATTGCATTAAATCTATTTTAGAATGTCACACACATGCACACGCGCACGCACGCACATACGCACACACACACACACATACACACATACACACACACGAACAAACACACACACGGACAACACGCACGGGCGTGCACTAGAATAATGAAAATGATATTGATAATGATTATGATGATTACAATGATAATGAAACATAATATCGCGATTGGAAGTGCTCTGAGAATATCAATGACAATGCCAAGGATAAGGATAAGCCAGAGCTTCGCCCGGGCTATGCCAATGAAGGGAGCCCGGTCAGTCCCGGACAATGCTGGTAATGTTTTTAACAACAATACTGATGATAATAGTAAAAACAATCATGGTGATAGTGCTAAAATGACAAACAATATTAATAATAATATCGCTGATATAAGTAACAGTAACGATAGTGTCACATGGCATCTCCAACCTCAGGGTGGCTATAATCAGCCTTCATTTTGGCTTCATTTCAAGCTTTCGAAAGAAGAGATGGCTTGTCATGATGCAAATTACTGGTTTTCCCATTTTCTTTGTCCGACGAAGAACGAAAATAAGTGTGATTGCAGGCAGAGGGTAGACTTTAGAATTTTCTCTTTTCTTGCTCCTTGTGTTCTTTTTCATTTATATCTGGGAATTATTTTAGGAGGAGGAGGATATATTCTACTTTGTATTCTGTTTGTCTGTTTGTTCTGTTATTCTTGTTCTCTAATAATAACAACAACAATAATGAAAGCAATGATAATAACAATAATGTTAATACTAATGATGATAGTAATAATAATAATAGCAGTAATAATAATACTAACAGCAATAATAATAATAATAACAAAAATACAATAATAAAGATGATGATTATAATAATGATAAGATAATAATTATATATAATTATAATAAAATAACGATAATAAAAAAACAGAAATGATAATAATAAAAATAATGATAATAAAAAAAAAAATAATCATAATTATAATAATAATTATCATTATAAAACAATAATAATAGTAGTAACAACAACAACGATAATATTGATAATGATAATAATGATATCAACAAGAATGATACTAGTACGACGACTACTACTACTACTACTTCTATTACTACTACTACTACTGCTACTATTACTACTATTGCTATTACAACTACTACTGTTATTACTAATATTAATATTATTACTACTAATACTAGTAATACCAATAACAATAATGATAACAATAGTAATCATAATGATACTACTACTAGTTATAGTGATAATGATAATAATAATGATGATAATGATAATAATAATAATGATGACAATATTAGTAATGATAATGATAATAATAATGATAATAATAATGATAATGATAATAGGGATAATAATAATGATAATAACAATGGTAAAAATAACAATAACAATAATAATGATAGTAATAATAGTAATTAAAAATATTATTAACAACAATAATTATGATAATAAAGATAACAGTGACAATGATAATAATAATAATAATGATGATGATAATAATAATGATAATAATAACAATAATGATAATAATAATAATGATAATAACAAAACAACAACAACAACAACAATAATGATAAATAATAATGATAATAATAATGATAATAATAATAATAATAGTAACAATAATCATACCAAAAATAATATCAATAATGATAGTAATAATAATAATGATAATAATAATAACATTAATAATAATAACAACAATAATACTAATAATTATAATAATGAAAATAAAAATAACAACAACAACAACAAAAGTAATAATGATAATAATAATAATAACGATTATAAAAACAACAATAACAATGATAATGATCATAATATTAATTATAATAATGAGAATAATAAAAATGATAATAATAATAATAACAATAATGATAATAATAATATTAACAATAATGGTAATATTAATAACAACAATAATAATAACAACAACAATAATAATAATAATGATAATAAAAGTGATAATAATAACAATGATAACAACGATGAGGATAGCAATGAAATGGTAATAATAGTAATCATGATAATAATTACAAAAATAGTAATAATAAAAATAAAAAAAATAATAATAAGAATAAGAATGATAATGATAATAGGATTGATAGTAATAAAACATGATAATAATAATAACAATAATAAAATTAATTATGATAATAACAATAATAATGATAATAATGATAATAATAATAATAATAATAATAATAATAATAATGATAATAATAATAATAATAATAATAATAATAATAACAGTAGTAATAATAACAAAAAATTATAATAACGATAATAATAATGAAGGTAATAATGCATTATATTGATAGTATTAATGATAGTAATAACAATAATAAAAAAAATACGATAATGGTGATGATAATAACAGAAACTAGTAATGATAAGGATAATAGCAATAATAATGATAGTAATACACTACTAACAATGATAATATTATTGACGATAATATGATAATAGTAATATCAATAATGATAATAATAATAATAATGATAATAAACAATAACCATATTAACAACAATAATAATAAAATGATAATAATACTAATGATAAAAGTAAACAATACTGATAGTAATAAACAATATTAATATCAATGATGATGATAATGATAATAATAATGATAATAATCATAATGAAAATAACAATAATAACAATAATAATAATAATAATAATAATAATAATAATAATAATAATAATAATGATAATGATAATGATAATAATAAAAATAATAATAATGATAATAATGATAATAATAATAATAGTAACATTAATAATGATAATGATAATGATAACAATAATATTAATGATAATAATAATAATAATGATAATGATAATGATATCAATGATGATAATAGTAATGATAATGATAATGATAATGACATTAATAATGGCGATAATGACAATAATAGTAACAATAATTGTAATAATAATATTGATAATGATAACAATAATGATGATAATAGTATTAATCATAATAACAATAAAAATAATTATAATAATGATACTGATAATAATGATAATAACACTAATAATAAAGATGATAATAATAGTAATATTAATTAGTATCATTATAATAATAAAAGTAATAATGAGAATAACAATAGTAATAATAATAATAATAATAATAATAATAATAATAATAATAATAATAATAATAATAATAATAATAATAAAAAATAATAATATGATGATGATGATGATAATAATAATGATAATGATAATGATCATGATAATAATAATAATAATAATAATAATTATAATAATAATAATAATAATAATATCAATAATACTAATACTAGTGATAATAATAATAATGATAAGGATAATCATAATGGTGACAGTAAAAAAGGATAATGATTATGATAATAATTATGAAAACAATGGTAATAATGATAACAATGAAAATAATAATAATAATGAAGATGATGATGATACTGACATTGATAAAGGTGATGATGATGATATTAATAAGAGTAAAGATAATAATAATAATAATAATAATAATAATAATAATAATAATAATAATAATAATAAAATCATCATCATCATAATAATAATAATGATGATGATAATAATACTAATGATAATAATGATGATAATGATAATAATGATAATAATGGTAATGATGATGATAACAATAATAATGATACTGAAAATTATGATAACAATAAAGGCCATAATCATGATTATGAAACTAATAAATAAAAAATAGTAATAATAATAATGATAATAATAATGAAAAATCATAATAATAATGAAAACGAATGATAACAGTGATAATGATAATGATGATAGCAATAACAATAAAGAAACAACCACATTGATGAAGATGACGCATACACAGGTGTTTAATCAGACACTCAGTGAGATGGGCGC